TATCTATCTATCTATCTATCTATCTATCTATCTATCTATCTATCTATCTATCGTCTATCTATCTATCTCATCTATCTATCTATTTATCTATCGTCTGTCTATCTATCTATCTATCTATCTATCTATCTATCTATCTATCTATCTATCCATCTTTCTATCTATCTATCTATCTATCTATCTATCTATCTATCTATCCATCTTTCTTTCTATCTATCTTTCTATCTATCTTTCTATCTATCTATCTATCTATCTATCTATCTATCTATCTATCTATCTATGCACCTATCTATCTATCTATGATCTATTTTTTGGTATCTATTTCCTGGTCTTTGCAAGCTTTTCTGCTCCACCTGGGACTCCTAACGTCCTGGACAGCTGGCTGGCTCCTCACTTCTTCGAGAACCATCCATTCCACCTGCTCCCCAGGGCTGCTGCTCTTTCCCCCTGTGCTGCCGTCTCCAGACTCAGGAAGAGCTAGTAGTTGAGCAGCCCTCCACATGGTGACCCAAAGGCAGAGCCCTAGTGGGTGGGACTGGCTTGTCCCTCTCACCGGGATAGGGATGGCTTGGCAGGGGTGGGCTTCGTCCAGCCCTTCAGTCACTCACCTTGCCAGTCGCAGGCTGGGCGGCCAGGAACAGCAGCAGGAAAAGTAGCGGGAGCACCTGGAATCTCGGAGCACTCTCTGAGTTCATGATGGACATTGGTCCTGAGTCCCGGTGTGTCCAGGGGCCTACCGGACCCGCGGGCTCTCAGGCCTCCGTGTCCCCTGCGGGACACAGACTGGGGAGGTCCTCTGTTGAAGCTCGCCTTGCTGGCCCACTGGGGCGAGTTTTGTAGGGCTCGACCCACCGCGGTCTGTTTGTCCTCACTCAAGCTTTTGATTGCGACTCCAAGGGAGGGAAGAAGTGGCTGAGGTCCCGCCCTCGTCCCCTCTCCCTCCCAGCTCGCCAGGCACTGTACTGTCCCTTCAACCGGGCATCGTGCCCAGGAAGTGAGAAAGGGCTGGGCGGCCGCAGAGCAGGCAGGTGGGCGCGAATCCAGGGTCAGGGTGAAAGGGGTGATGTCCCTGCGATCCTGGGACTCCGGTGCTTAGCGGGTGCCGGTCAGAGCGAGGAATTTAGGGTTGTGCGGCAGGGAGGTGGCTGCACAGGGTGGGGGGAGTGGCCAGCAGCCCTGCCCAGATTAAGCGGGAGGCGCGCGGGAGTCTGCGACTCTGGAGGCCGGGTTTGCTGGCAGCTCCCGCGGCTGCACATCTGCTGCCGGCCTTCAACTCGCAGCCAGCGCACAGACTTGAAGCTGAGCAGGCAGTGAAGAGGAACACGGTCACGGGTGGATTCCGTCCAGCCCCGAGCGCGAGGCGCGTGTCAGGTCTGCCGGGTGGCCTGCAGTTCCTTCTCTGCCTGGTTGTTCCTCAGGTAAGCTGCCCGCAGGCAGGCATTGCCTCGGCGCCAGGGCACCTGCCTGGGAGCGGAAGCACCATGGCATCTAAGGGGTGGTGGCTGGGGAAGCTGTGGCCTTGGGGTCAGTAGAGGAGAGCTTCCCTGGCTCCCAGGCTTCCCTGCCAGGGCTTGAACTGGGCACTGTGTGTTTTGATTAATTTGGAGGCTCGAGTTACTGTCCTGGCAGTTGCAGCATTCCAAAATGCCAAGAGCAAGAGGCAGCTGAGGGGAAAGAGAAAGCTCATCCTATTCTCCGAGTTGAACTGCTTTTCAGGCTAAACCTTATCTGCGGAAACGGAGGAGAAAATGAGAGCCAACTCTGGTCCGGGGTGTCCCTGCCTGGGAGGGCCTTGGATGCAAATGCCACCTCTGGCTTGGTAGGGCTCCCTGTTGCAGGGCTCCTATGCTACCTGGTGAGACAGCCTACACCGAATGGGATGAAACATTTAAGATGCATGGGCTTCAGGGAAATCACAGTTTTACTTAGATACAGTTGTCACAGTGCTAAAGGAGAGATGTACTAACGACAGGAAGTATTATTATTGAATGGTATTATTATTACTGAATGGTCTTATCTCTGTAACACTCCCACTAAACAACCGTGATACTGTCACAGTGGTAAGTGAGAACAAGATCTTGTGATAATCACGCAAACGTCATGGTCATGAGCATATCAGTGAGTGCAAACTCAGCTACCAGCATTGGTGGGTGGCCTGTTAGCTGATGTTCCTCACTGACGGAAAGTCCCAACTTCCATGAAGAACCGGTGAACACTTACACACTACTGTTTTCTTATCTGGCCATCTTGTTTCCATCTTGTTTCTCTCCTCCCCCCATCCCCAACTCCAGGTTGCAGATTGAAAGGGGCATCTTCCACGATGTACAACTGTGGCCTTACATTAGAATTTTCTGAGGAACATGTAAAAGTTCCAGCACCCAGTGAATTCTAAACCAGTTGTATAAAATTCTCTGGAGAGACAAACTTATTGGTGCATGGTAGAACCTCTTGAATATTCTTTGTGAAAACATACTTGGTAGTTGGCATATTTTTATTTTATTTTAATCCTTCTCTCTCATACGTTACATCCAGACCATAGCAATTTTGGTTAGCTGCACTGCATTAGGGTCTCTTCCGTAGAATAATAAGAAGACGTTCATTAAAGTCTTTACTAAGATTTAGGGGCCTCCTGGAGTTGGTGCCCAGATCATAAGTGTAATTTGCCGCACGGTGGCTTTAGGAAGGTTCCTGCAGGGACTTCTACCATCCTCGTGGCGTTGGATAGCAGGCACTTTGCTGATGAAGTGACAATGCACAAGGATGCCAAGAGGCATATAATTGTCCTTTTCAAAGTGGTGCTGCTACCTGAAGGAAAAAACAACAACAACACAATCTCAGTCTTGATATCAGATGCCCCTTCCCTATTTAGGATTACAGAAAACCTGGATTTTTGAATGGCTTTATCGAGGCCCTTAACTACCTTAACCTCCTTCTCTCTGTGTGTGATGCACGTATTCTCACATGTGTGCATATTCTTGAGTGGGGGAGCAAGAGCCACAGGATGGTGGGATGGTCGAGAAACAACCTCGAGTGATGGTCTTCGCTTTCCGCCTTGCTTGGGACAGGACCTCCTGCCCTCCTGGCCCTGTGAGCCTCCGGGGATTCTTCAGTCTACACCTCCAGGCTCGATTTAGGAGTGCTGAGGTTTTATAGATTCACGTACCTGGCTTTTCATGCATCCGGGAATCCAAACTCAGGTGCAAACTTCCTCAGCAGGTGCTTTCCTCACTGAACGGTATCCTCAGCCCAGAGCCCTGGAGTTTTGACGGGAGAACAGACTGAGATTTGTCAGCACTGAGCAGTCACCTGCATTTCTGATGCAGCAGCAGAAGGAAATGGGATGTAATATAGGCAGGTGCAAGCAGATGCTCAGGAGCCTGGTATCTGGACTACCCCCTGGATTCTGAATCCGTTTGTGCTTACTGGCATGGATTAATGGCTCCAGGCTGAACTCTTACCCTCTCTAACATCAGACTAATTGTGGTACCAGCCTCAGGGAGTTGTAGGACTCTGATAATCCCTCAGAAACCTTTTGTTCGTGCAACCACCAGGTGCTGCTGCATTCTGACTGGGGTTGCATTAGGGAGAAACAGATGGACATGATGAGAAAGGGTGTCAGGGTGAAGGGATGCTCTCCTCAGTTCAATACTAATGAACGAGAAGCAGGCACAGCGCCACATTAACTCCAGGTCTTATCAAGAACAGCAGCAGTGGCAGGAGCTGCTAGAAACTGGACTCTCAGCTGCCACCCAGACTCAGCGAATCAGAAGCTAACCGTCCAACATCCACGACTGCTAGCTGGTTCATTTGCAAGCGAAATGTGGAAATGTGGCTTGTTTGAAGGCCAAATACAAGCACACAGTTCTCACCTCTCCACTACACACACAGTTCACTTCATTATTGCCTATGCTCACCTACGGTTGTACTTAACCAGGGCTCAATGGGAGCTCATGAAGTTAAAGAAATCAGCACCAAGAGCACCAGTGTTTCGTAGTTTACTCCTTAAATGAGAAATACAAAAGGAAAGGTATGTTTTGTTTTGTTTTTTTGCACAAGATTTTTTTTTAACACTTGATACTAGATGGCGGTTTTAAATACAATTGTCAATACCTTTGACAAGCTCTATACACTTATTTAATCTGACTTTAAATTTATAATTAATATTATGACTTTTCTGCTTTCTTTTTAATTCTTAAAGATTTATTTTGTTAGTGTAAATATTTTGCCTGTGTGTGTGTGTGTGTGTGTGTGTGTGTGTGTGTGTGTGTGGCCAGAGGATGAAGTCAGATACCCTGCTCTGTCATGCGCAGTCTTGTGCCCTTAAGATGGGGTCTCTCACTGAACCTGGAGCCAGGCTGGAGGCCAGCAAGCCCCAACAATTCTGTTTCTGATCCCTACAGATCTCTACTGGGTTTTCAAGTGTGTACGTGTAAAAGTCAACCTGGCATTTACATGTGTGCTGTGGATTTGAACTCAGGTCCTTAAGCCTGTCAGCAAGCTTTTTTAAAAATTATTATTAGTTTTTTACTTACTAAACAATATCTCACAGCCAGGTGTCTAAATATGAGTGCCCATTTCACCAGTTTTCAATGTAAAGTTCTGTTAGGAAAGAGGCCTTTTGGGAATGGACGGTTAAATGCGAACAGCTTACCAAGCTCACACAGCATTCTTATTCACACTTATTTCTTCAAAATCCCTAAGTTTCTCCAGCCTCTACCACACACGTGGCACACATATGCAGGATTAGGTTGTCCATGGACCCTTCTCTAATTTCTCTAACTCCCCTCACAGTCATTTCTCTCTCCACCTCCACCCCCAGAACTTTCTCTTATCATCACTTCCAGGTGTTTTTAGAATCTCAAGAGTCACAAGCAGCTCACACTAGTTCTTGCTCCTGACTTCTCTGCTGCTGCTCTAAGGTCGCAGCTCCTGCCCTGGTACCCACTTTTATTATCCGTAGACTATGGTTGCCTTCTAGCTGGTCTCCTCTCTCGGGAGCTCTGTGAAATCCATCTTTGATGTTTCTGTCAAAGCTGCCATTTAGAATTGCACACAGGGCTGGGGCGATGCCACAGCTGGGTAAAAATGCTTGCTGTGTAAGCACGAGGCCAGGAGAAAGCCCACATAAAAGCCATTGGATGTGGCAGTCCACTCATACTCCCAACATGTGGGAAATGTGTAACAGGTTCCTTGGAGCAAGCAGGCTAGCTACAGCCTTACCAAAATGGTGGCCTCTGGTTCAGAAAGGAATCCTGCTCCTATATATAGGGTAGAGACAGATGAGACCCAGTATCAACCTTGGGCCTGCACATGCACCTACACACAAGCAAACATGCAAACATGTGCACACTCACAATGCACTGTATTCACATAAAGTGATTATAAACTGTGATAGCCACAGGAGATAGACGGTGATGTTTGCTACACCAGTAAATCAGTTCTTTTTCCCTCTATCATGTTTAGCATGAGCTAGTGTAAATAATAGCCAGATAGATGCTTCTTGAGTTAATAACCATAGATATTTATGTAGCATTTAAAGTATATGCAGATGATACAAAAAAAAATACTTCACCAGTGCCAACCTAATTTATAGAAAGCTACCCCGTATTTTCATGATTTATTATATTTAATAATTTTAATTTGTAAGTCATTCTCATACTTGTTATATATAAGCTAGATTTAGTATTTTGTTCTTATTTCTTTTTATGATAAAAAGTAACATAGACTTCTTTCTAGCTTTATTGTCTGTGTTCCCCCCCCCCCCCAGGTCCTTTATTTCCAAAGTTCATAATGAAAGAGCAGGCATACTCTAATTATAATTATGGAATTCTTTTTCTAATGATATTTTCAGCTGCTATTTTTTTTTTTTGGCCATGCTGTCCACTGATAACCTTATGCACACATAGAACATTCTTTTCACTCCACTTAGTATGTGGTCCATACTGAAGGTGTGCTAAGCTCCACAGTGAACTATGGGAAATCCATGACTCTGAAGCCATTTTATTTTGTTGTTGCATTTTCTTACATTTATTTATTGGGGAGGGAGTGTGCGACAGTGCCCGTGTGGAGGTCAGAGGACAAGTTGGTAATGGTTCTCTTCTTCCATTGTGCGGGTTAGTGGCAAGCTCATTTACCCAGGGAGCCGTCTCCATCCCTGAAGCCCAGGTCTGAGGTATGCCCTTGAATCTCTTGTTACAATCCTGAGTGGCACAACTGTTCAGTGTGGAGTGTTGTTCCAGGTCTTGTCCTTAAGGAAGACACATGGTAAGGAGATTCCAGGCTCCCAGCAATCAACTCCCACAGCAAGCCAGAATGGCTTAAAGGGTGGCCAAAAGACAGGATGTGGCCATGGAAAAAGCCATGATGGCATTCTTAGGAAAGAGGAGACCTTGTTTGAGCCCAGTTGCTCTTCTCCTGT